AATATCATATAGAATCATTGGTGTAACAACAACTTCAATTTCTTTTTGTTTTTGTTGCACCACAAATCTCCAATTGGTTCCATTTGGCCATCACTAATGTCATATAGAATAATGTCATATAGGTTAATGAAACTATAATATATGTAGTTTAGCATGGAAAAATTGTATTCCAAACAATTAATTTCTCAAAAAAATAAATCAAATGACGTGGTGAAATTTCCAGGGCTCTCACCTATAGATTAGATTTGCATCACTTAAAGATTTCAATCGATGATTTTTTTTTTGTCACGAACACATCATCATGTTTCATGAGTCATAACATCGACATAATCCATCAATTCGAGTGCTTTGATGTTGAGTCATTTGACGTTGACTATGTCAAATCCAAGTTGATTGGAAAGAGAAAAAATTGCGCTGCAATACAATTTGAATCTTTTTGACTTATAAAAATCTTGTGTTATTTTTTTCGTGAAATAATTTTCTTTTAAGCAAGAACTTCTTAAATGTATAACCGGGTTGTACATGATCAAAACCAATTACTTTCTAATTTCATTTAACTAACTCTTTTTGTTTAAACTTTTGATGAATTTCTATTTCTTTATAAGATTAGGGTCACAACATCCCTAACTATGGACTGTATGAAAAAAGTGTATAGCTTATTGTCCAATGTAAAACTTGTCGTTTTTCTTATATAATCAATGAAAAACATCTTAGGTTTGTTTACATCAATGAAAAAGTTGATTATCCGTCTCTTCTTTATATTGTCTATCAGTACGTAGCGTCTTAATTTGTAGTTACTGAAAAAAGAAAATCAACTCATATCAAATCATCGAAAGGTTAAAATTAAAAATATTTATACAAGAAATTTGAAAAATAGTAAGATGATGATGTAAAATATTTTGGTCTAGATTTTTTTTTAGCTGTTATTGCATAGCCCACACATCTTTCATTTGAAAATATAAAAAATCTGATTCTTGATTCTTGTAAAGCCTTTCTAATAAGTGTGTTCAATAAAGATTAAAGTCTGGTAATAAAAAACGCAATAAGATATGGAATTTAGGTATACATTCTGTTCAATTGATATGAGAAAGGTGACCAAATCATCAAATTCATCGATAAGCAAGTGAGGAACAAGCTTCTCTCGATTCGAAGTGCAGGAGATCGAAGATATGACGAGAGTATACAAACTTCGTTCTCTGCATTAGAATAAAGTTTAAAATGTTGTCTCCTTTCTTCTTTTAGAATTCAAAATAAAGAAGCATTTGATGTACAAAAGTCTTTGAATTAATTTAACAAATAATTTCAAAAAAAAAAAAACATGTTTTACAAATGAATATCTAGGTGATGATTCGTCTAGAAGCTAAATATTGATGCAACAATCCGATATAGAACATTGACTTTTCTAGATTTCTTGTGTATGCACCTATGATTAATTGTTATGACAATAGGTTTAGTGTAGAAACGACAATATCTTCATGTTGAATTAATGGTGTTTCATCTAATAACATTTTTATCTTTGTGTTCCTTTTTTTTTTTTGTCAAACAAGTGACTTCATTCATTTAAACGATCAAAGTACAAAGGGAGAACATTAAACATCCTCCAGAAATACTACAACATAATTTAGAAGCAATAAAGCATAAAACAGATAAATTATCGCAAAGGATGGACAGCAAATCCAAAGCATGTCTCGGCTGCGTCAAGACGGTCTTTGCGGCAAAGCCGGAGAGTCTCAGGTTAGTCACTTTATCATGTGACTTTGAAGATCCTGGCATAAAGCACAGGAGTTCGACCACTCTCTATGAGAGGGAAGAAAATACGACCATGCTCAAAGAGATGGAAGAATGTGGAATTATCTTCCACATATTTACAGGATTTGAGAATCCAGAAAACTTTGGATTTCCCAAAAGGGAATTTCCAATAAGCTCAAAAGCATGCGAGATTTTTGCAAATCTGATTTTAGACCTAATACTGATTGGGCCAAGATTATTGAGTTTAACACTCCAATTGGGCCTCAATAATGAGTTGGGCTTTTCAAATCCCATAATTTCTCTAAGGCCCATGTTCAAGTCATCACGATGGGTGAACAGATGAGATGAAGCGGCAATGGGAAAATTTCGGCGAGCTATACAGCTTTCTCGGCCATCTCCGACAGTGAGAGACGGTATAGGAGGTTTGAAATTTCGCAGGGATGGGAGATTGAGCCACTGTGACGGTGGTCTACGTCTAGTGAGAACCAATTTGTCTCCGGTGGAGTCATCTCCTCTCGCCTCCGACGACCGGCGATGGAGGACCATGATTCTAGGGTGGCGAAGCGGGGGCATGGCATCAAGAGATGAAGAGATCGGGCCACGAAGGCACGACCCATACGGCGGCCTCCTAGATCCGGTGCCATTCCAATCTTGTGGTGAGTCATGGCAGGGATGGGCGAGCACGACGATATCGGTATTTTATCTGGCGGGTCTGGTGGTTTTGGAGGGATCTTCGCCTGAATAGTAGCCGCCCTCTCAAGTCGCGAGGAAGCTACGGAGCAAGCTGACTGTAGCATAGCTGTGAGCGATTGTGGCTCACCGGCGATACAGCCCACCGGCGAGGAGAGCCAACAATCGAAGCGATTTTGCTAGAGGAGAAGCAGACGACGAGTTTCCGACAAGACAAGTCCATCAACGGTGGAGGAGAAGCGTCGCACGCGGCGCCTCGGTAGTCGGGCCTGAGAGGTTCTTTAGGGCGAACTTTTTGTATTTCTTATTTCTAAAGTTTATTCAATGCGTTATCAAATTAAAGTTTTCTTTTTTTTTTTTGTAACCATTGATTGTAATTTTAACATTCTCTGCATTTTAATTTAATGATGAATTAGTTTTCTTTACCATCTTGTTGTGTTCTGTTCTCTTGGATCCATTTTTTTAACTTAGTTATTGTAACCTTTTAATTTGTCCATGATTTTTCTGCTGCTCAGGTTATTTTGGCATTTTGTAGTATTCATGGGACATGTCTTGTCTTCTTGGATTTGTAATTTATTCCTTCCAAAAATCGAAAAAACTT